AACAAGCAACAAGGGGAATAACTGAGCAGAAGTGGTCAAACTCACAGCTCTTCCCAAATGGCATCTCTTTTGTCACTGTCCGAGAAGGAAAAAAAAAAGGTGCTAAATTGCCTAACTCAATATGATATTTCTTCTAACACATTTTCAGTAGAAAGCAGAGATCAAATTGCATGAGGTATTTTACAAAAGCAGAACTATTTTGAAATATGAACAAATGGATGAGATTTGCTGCATCTTTTGCAACAAGTCTCACTCTTCATTAGAAGCAAAGCAGTTTAATAATCTATTTTAACATGATATTGGTTTCTCGTACACTAAAAAAGAAAACTTTTTACATTACAAAATTGAATATAAGATTCTTAAAGAAAAACATGGAACAATTTGAATCTTATATATCTATATGTATCTATGTATCTTCCTGCTTTTCAAATACATACCCTTTAAATCTGCTACCCCTGCAAAAACTAAAAGCAAACTGAAATACAGTGACTGATGTTGCTTCAGTTAAATTCTTAGTACTAATTATTTTATTTGTTATTTTGTTTTGTAGAAGGCTGGTACATATCAGGAACAATAAAAACCTGGTATTTTGGGAGACAATTCAGTGCTGACTTTGTCAAAAGCTACTAAAAGTTCATTTCCTCCCTAGTAGTAGAATATCTTCCAATATTATGTTATTTAACATTATTAATAGTACTAAAAAGACATAAGGGGAAAAAAATGAACACAGATATGACATTTCTGCTTCACTTTGTGGCCACAACATGCAGCAAACCACTTTACTGTTTAAAATTAAAGGCTATTTTAATATGCCTAGAATTCCTATAAAAATATTTTGAGATTAATAAAAAGGATTAACTACTGTTAATGTAGTAGTAAGACAACAGCTCCACCTTTGAACTTTAAGCAGGAAGTGGTCTTTAGACTAAAGCTAATTATTTTCATGTATTACAGTCAGAGGAAAACAACATTTTCTACTGAAACTCAGATGCTGATAGAGCAGTTTTAGGTATCACTCTGCAAACCTCCACAGGCCTACTCTTTGGAATGTCTACATGCTAATATTCCACACATTTTTATAAACTTGAAAGGTATACCAAGATTTCTCGAAAGTATTTCTCAGCTATACACTGTATAAGTAAGGCTTGATAGTTTAAAAAGGAAGGATTATAAAAAAAGGAACAGTTTTGTAGGAATAGGCAAAATTAATTCTTCAAAAACTGTACTTTAAGGATACAGTATTTTAATCTCTAGCTTGACCACAAAAAGTCTTCATTAGAAAAGTAGGTCTCAACTCTGACCTAGAGGGTTTATGCTACTTCTGGTAGCCATAACAGCTTAAGAATGAACTTATTTTACTTTAGTAAATTCACTCATCCCTTGTTGAGGGCAGCAAAAACCATCTTCACCCCTTATGTATTTCAGTACTTGTAATCTTTCAATTCTTGAGAGTTAGTATGATATTGTATTATTACCTAATGGTAACAGTAGGTTAATTAAGCTTTTTGGAGGCTGATCTAGCATACAAGTAGCAGTTGTTTGTAAATCTAAACATTAAAATCTTGTGCTGTAGTGGAAGGTAGAGTCTTTTCTAATGTACAGAAAACTTTCAAGTATAAAACCTCACATTTTATTTTTTCCCCCCACTTAAATTTATTTTTCAGTTTTATAACAAATTGGCAATTTTGGACCAGCTTTGGAGCTTTAATCCCTATAGGTTTGGAAGGAATGACATTATTTGAACATTTTAAAAATGCCAACAGAAACTTTGTTTTTTATCTCAAAGTTTATATTACCACATTATCAATGTTTTGTTTTAGTTCATATTGGGCAGGTGTGAACCATCAAAGATGACCACAACTGTGCTACAATGAAAATAATTTAATGAATCAACTCTGTCAAAATCGTGACAGCAATTGATTATGGTTGATCACTATGATTAGAATAACAGCAGTGCTTGAAAACAGTCATTCATAATCTAAACTTCTGAACCTTTCAAACCGCATCTAAATTTCTTACAGTGTAATAAATCAAACTGAGCATTGTCAATTCCAAAATTAAAACATATGAACAAGGCATCAGGAAGTCCTCACTGAAATTCTAACTTCTGAAGAAAGTGTGTAGCAAAAGCCCTTTCAACAAACTACCTTTGGAAAAGTGTATTATATCTACCCTTAAATTATGTCAGGTATTTATCAGTAATCCCATGTATGCACTGTGATTATGAGAACAAAGTCATATAACTATTTGACTTTGTTTTGAACAATGTAAATCATTTTATTTATACAAAATAACTGTATGTTGGTTATATCCGTGTTTTTCATATTGGTAAAAATGTCTGAACCTGAATACCAACACAAATTATGGTCATATGTGAAGTTACAGTTCAAAGTATCTTAATCATAAAACTGTAATTCAACAAGATGTTTTCTGCTATGCTTCATGAACAGAAAAAACAAACAAACAAATAGAAACAACATATTGGGGGTTAAATCAATGCAACCATTACAATAGGTGCAAACTTGGGAAAATCCCCCACAACCTAAAACATTGTCAACAACTTTGATATGGAACAAAGGATACAGAACAAAAGGAGCATTATAGAGCTGTTTGCTTTTGGAAGCTGCAGAACTACTGCTTAAACCTGCTGTAGTACTTATTTCCAACCACTACAGAATATTAAAATCACATGTTAAATACTTCCCGTAAAACCCACCAGGAAATTCCATCAAATGATTCTTCTTCATAGTACTTATTTCACCATTTTTGATTAATATACTTTCCAAGGTCAAACCAGATGTTATGAGATTACCTCCCTTTCACAGAAGATCACACTTTAAATGCTCCCTGGGATTCTATTAAGAATAAACTTAGAGCTAAATCATTTGGTTTAGCGAGCTCTTAATATTCCTCCAGTGTTAGCAATTTGAAAAGCTAGAATAAGTGTTATAAAACACACAAGATGAAGGAAGGAGCACTCCTGCAGTTTTCATATCACTCCAGTTTTAATATGTAGCCAAATGCTACAGGATCACCAGGTAATTAAGCAAATGTTAACTATGTCAAAATTTGGAGCCATGGTTGACTCAAAACAGAATTTAATGCATTTTTAGGGGGTAGTGGGAGGGAAGAGGCAGGAAAGATCTATGAAATCTAAACTTATCCCAAAGTAATCAGTTTCAATTCCCTGAAAATGCACAAGACATGTAGCAGCATGGTATATTCTGTTTTGGCAGGCATAATATTCTACAGTTTCTTACTTCTACCAGTGAAACCCATTCTCATTGAGCATGCAGCTACAGCTCCTTTTTCAAGCATCTATTTCACTTCACTTCTCATCTCCTTTAAGGCCCATCCCACCTACAATTATAGCTGCATGTTACTTTCCATACAAAGGTCAAATCAATTGTTATTTACCAAATTGGTAACCACATTTTGCCTAGTCTATTTCTTCATAAAGATTTTTAGTGTTTTATTTTCATTGCTGAAATGAAGCAATGAGAAGCTTTCTGTTCTTAGAGAAAGCGTATGTTTAATTACAAATATGTTTCCCAGGCAATGAAACTGTGCATGCAAACAACATCATTTCCTGTGATCAGATACTTCCAAACAGAGGCCTCTCAACATAAGCTTCTAACCAAATCTAAATTTTCACCGATCTCATACAGCATAGCTGAGGAACACAGACTTGCATGGAAACAAAAAAAGAATTTTTTTTTCTTTTTAAAAAGGAATACAGCTGTGAAAAAAGTTATGCAAGTGATAGCTGACCTTTAGCCTTGACTTTTTTGCTTTTCTTAAGAAAAGGAGTCATAGGGATACACTGATCCTTCAGATATGACAATATGCCAGGTACCTGCTGTCAAATGACAATAGCTGGTGTTTCTTTAGCTTATTAAAACTAATAAAATCAAACCAGGCTTTCAAAATGATGATGACAAATAGGCTTGCAAAAATATTTTCCCCATAGTTCTTCAGTAATAAACATTAAGTATTGTAGTGGAGAGAAAGAGACCGCTTGTGCCTTTGCAAGTAATAGTATAAGGCAAATATGGGTATAAGGGACACTACAAGGCTAAAGGGTCTTCAGCTTCATCCTTCCCATCTGTTCCATGTCTCTTATTCTCAAATTTCATCTAAAATTAATCAGTCTCCTACAAAAACAGTGCCACAGAGATAGCTAAGAAAGTGCTTAGTATGGTCCTAAATGAAGGATGAGACTTCAGAATGAATTTAAGCAAGTCAAGTACACCATTTGAATCCTAAATTAACGGACACAGCATTTCTTCACAGAAAGGCATAACTAACATTAGACAGGAACAGAGAAGCAAAGAAAAGTGAAATTCATGCAGCATCGAGGCAGTTAAGGAAAACCGTTTTATCTTGGAAGTATCATCATGAAAACATTACACAGCAAGAAATCCTTTGGCCAAATTATTTAAGCAGGTTCATACAATGAAAATGCACTGTTAACCTTCTCTTTTCTAAGAAAGTGAGGTGTAACAAGAAGGAGCACATACGAATGGAGACAAAATATTGCTCGAATTAACCACTGCTTTGTAAAATAGATTGCCTTTGTAATATGAATCAAAGGAAGAACAGAAACAGATTATGCTTATTCTCCACAGGACAAAATTTAAAAGCTCTGCAATAGAGAAGCTCATCTTCCTGCTTTTACTTCCTGTCCCTCTGCCAATCCAGGTGGGTTTTCAGTCATCTGGCAAAAGCATAGGGAAACCACACCTCTGAGCAGCTTCACAGTGGAGATTCCATCACACAAAACACTTAAACTGCTTCCAAAGCTAAATCCCAGTCTTCCCTCTCTACTGAAGGAATGTGTTGGGTTGGGGTTTTTTTATTATTTCTTTTCCTTGCCTGATTTGCTGTTAGTTGCTCTCTAAATGAAGCTCACAATACTTTTAGTGGTCACTATTACTTTTGCTACACTGCAAAAGTCCTGGAACTTTCTCCTTCAACTATCTTCTCCATAATCAGAGTACCCTCTCTGGTTTAGCAATTGAAACAGCATTTGTTCGATTTTCTGGACTCATCTGGAGAATCATAATCTTATTGAAAAAAATCATAGTTATATACTTTGCTAATGGATAACTTGTTCTAAACATTTGTATCTCACCTTTGACAGAAGCAATTTCACACAGGAAACATGGCCCTCATAGACTGCTGATAGGAGTGGTGTGATATTATGTTTGTCTGGAGCCTGTAAATTGAGACACAGTTATTTGAAGCACAATTTCACACAGCATTAAAAGGTTTCACTTTTTAATTTTGTTTTCTCAACAGTAGAGTGAAGGCAAGGATTTAAGAATATTATTCAGAAATGCAATCCTTCAGAGTTTTTTACTCTCCTTTTTAAAAAGATAAGTCATTGTTTAATAAACAGCCAGGTAACAAGCAAGATATTTCTTCCATAACACTTCTAGGTGTCACAAAGTTTGTCTTTTTTTTTTTTTTAGGCCAATGGTAGAAATTGTGGCATTTCAGTTAACAAATTTTACCCAATTTAAAAACACCACTCCTAATTCTCCCTGACTTCAGAAACCAGTTTTGCCTGAAACATTGTTTGGGCTGTCTTCTCCTCTCTAAACTATTGTCCTGGAAAGAATAAGAAATGGAGCAACTGAAATGCTCTTATTTTTTCCTCCTCTCCAGTTAGAAGAACTCCTGAGAAAGAGATAATCTTTCCAGTCATCAAGGGAAATATCCAAGCCATTGTTAAGGACTAAACCTAAGATGTCTTACACATTAACTTTCAGACAAGCATTCCAAAGCACAGCATTTGAAGTGTATGGTTAAAATATTTAGAAACTTCACTTTATGGAGAACTACACTATTCTGAAGTGCCAATACAGTCCAGCCAAGTATTGTCACGACAAAAAGCCACATATGTCAACATACAGCAAGGTAAGTTTGTACAAGTAAGAATGTCTCCAAAAAACCACACACACCAGTTTAAAGAGTTGATCCTGCCCTGGCCAAGGATACGTTGTACTATCTTCTGATGTCTCTTCCAACAAATGTAACACATATTTCATGCAAACTTTATTTAGTTTGATTCAGATCACTGGATTTATTTTTCTAATCATGATCAAGACAAATTTAAACTTTTTATAGCTATGAACAACTTCTCCTAGTGTGTCCAAAAAGAATAAAAACATTTAATAAGTGTAATTTTAAGATTCTAACCTCCAGGAGACCACCTCTCAAATATTTTTAAATGCATCATTTTTTTAATTTGACCTAAGTCTTTCTGTAACCATTTAGGTACTTATGCCAATCACTTATGCAGGGTAGGGGGGCAGCAGGGGAAAGACTCTAACATCTGTTTGCAAATTGATGTACATACATTAATATCAGCTCCTTTCAATAGCAGAAATTCCAGAATCTCAAGCTGTCCACAGTCTGCTGCATAGTGAAGAGGCTTCCTCCCACCTTCAAGTGTCCGGTTGACATCTTCACCCTTTAATATAAACATAATCTAATAAGCAAAAGTTTAGAGCTAACACAACAAGAGCAGCTTGAATAAATGCAACATCTTCAAATATACTGCAGAATGTTCCATCCAACTAAGTCATTGACCAATTTCCTTCCCCTCATCTATGCATTTCGGACTGCAAGACAACCTTGGTCCCTCTTTCCACACAGTATCTCAAGTGTCGTGAGAATCCAAGTGCACTAAGTAACTCATGTGCATTTACTTAATAATAATAATAATAATAAATCATTAGAGCTTGTAAAAAATGCTCACATTGGCTCATTCTGATACTCCTTGCCCCCAACTGCAATCCTAGTTACCTGGCTATTCTAAGTTACTCCACCTGCTTCTAAACCTATTTAAATTTTGCACACTGAGAAACCAGATGCATAGAAATAAGTCAGCATCATAACTACCAGCAAGTGAGTACAGATCATCCATAATTTAAAACCTAATTATGAAACTGTCCCTTCTGTTTTATAAATAGCACCTGCCAATTCTACATGACACAAAAAAGTATGAAGACAGTCAACCAAATCAGGACACAGGAAGTTGTATTCTAATGCCAGTTGTACTAGTGGATTGAGACATCTCTTAAGGCGTAAACAAAATTTAATTTAGTGAGCGTCTAATCAGCTTTGTTTCTTCACCTTGAGTTGTGCAACTAAGGATAAACTGATTTGCAGCACTTCAGTAATGACGAGAAGTTACTGGAAACCAAATACTGACATGTTATGTAGTAAGTGCCTTCTTACTCTATGTGCAAGTAAAGTTAGTATTTTAGGGAGTGGCTAAGCTTAGCATCATACACCAAGTCCTGCATCTCCACAGAAAAACAAACAAAAGAATTTCAGCTGCAGCACCAATTCATATTTCTCTACAGAACCCCTGCAGTTCCCTCACTCTTGCCCCAAACCTCTAGAAAGTTCACAAAATAAAGGACTTGACATATATCTTCCAGACATCACCTCCCTTCAAAGAACGTAAGACTGTCTGTCTCATTCTACATTTAATGTTCTATATTATCAGAATTTTATACTACCGGCTGAATAACAACACGACCTCAGAATTCTCCTCTGCTATCAATAGAATATTAAATTCTTCTCATAATATACCCTGCTGAAAATCAAAGCAACACATCAGTGTTTAACTTCAGGTGTGTAACTAAAACACTGCACATTCTATGGTCTCAGAGGTCAGGACCTGGTTCTCACAGTATTGAAGGTTCTGGATTCAAATTATTGTGAAGTAGCAGCAAGTAACATAATGAAAAAAAACTCTGCAACTGCTGTTACCCTGAAATATGGCTATGGCTTCTGAAGTATGTTGGACATCAGGAAAAAGATAATTTTCCTTTTATCTATGATTTTCAGAACAGCAACAAATTGTATTTCTAAACAAAGTTCACCACAGCTTTAGCTATGTGGACTATCAACACTGTATAACAGTTCATGATGTAAATTGCAATGTGGCTAACTGAAGGTCTAACTCTTTGTTTACCAGTAAAGTTATTGCAGATAGTCTTGTGATATACCTTCTCTTTTGCTGAATTTCAGTACAAAACATTGGCAGGTTTACGTTAACAACAGTCTTCCAAATAAAAAAATCATCCAGATCACAGCACACTAACATCACAAAAATAGCCACGTTGGTCTGAAAAGCATAGAAGGAAGTAGCATATGCTTAGATTTTCTACAAAGCTAAGCTCTACCCATATTCTTCTTTGCACCTTGCCACTTACCATCAATTTTAAAACAGATGGCATTTAAATAACACATGATGTTTGCAGATACAGCATTGGAATGCATAAGTTTAGGAAGCCACCCATACAAAAGCCACACAATCACTACTCCAAAATAGCCCCTAAAAAAGCCCTGTCTGACACACACCAAGACATGGTAAGTAAGGGAGTAAGGGAGAAGGTCAAGCAAGCTAACTCCTGGGACAGCACACAGGAAATTGTTCACATTCAAAAATAAATTTATAATCATCATATCTTAACACTGGGACAGTCCAGCAAAGCTGCCTCTTCCTTAAGCTTATAAATATTATTTGGCTCATCAGCTATAGGGTTTTGTTTGTTTGTTTTAAAGAATATACCACAGATCCCTCTGTTCTCTCCTAAGCTGTTTGTGGAATAAATTCCTTCTGGACAATGAACTCCTGGAAGGAAAAAACAACACCTGAACACAAAATTTTCTAAGTTTCCCTTAAAGATGATAAAAGCTTTTTTACAGTGAAGTATCTAGCAAAAAGTGTGCTAACAAAGATGTCCCAAACACAGATCATATGGATTTGAGTACTAATACTGAGAAAATATATCAGCAGCATTCAAAGTCAAACATCAGCGTTAACAGAATCAAGATATCCTTTAAGTTACAAAAATTCTAAAAAGCCAGTACTCTTAGATTCTGCAATAAACAATGTCAAATATCCACTTGTTTCATGGGTGTGAAAAGTCACTGTAGAACAGACCACTGAATGCTGTAAAACTTAATTTGGCCTTTCCTACTCCCAGTCCAAGACATACAGAAGTAGGAAGGGAAGACAAATCAATCCGTTTCATATACAGGGATCAAATCTTGGCACAAGCACGTGCTTTAAATGCAATCTCTAACATACGTATGTCAGAAAACTTGTAAGACTCTTCGTAGATAATTTTTCTCTGGCCTTTAGTTCTCCTACTTATATTGCCTGGGGCATCTCCCCATAGGAAGAGTAGTGGTCTCCAAAGTGAGGTGTGAAAACCAGAGAGGCATGCAAGACAATCCATTGGGGCGTGAGAAGAAAATATTTTTTTGCACTGTTAAGGTGTAAAAATAGTATTTATTTCATCTTTATTTTCCATTTTGGGGTTTGTTTTATGATGTACATAATACATAGTACAGTAGTACATGTGCATAACTAACTTATAAATAAATACATAGATATTGGTGGTGTATGCTCATTTTTTTTTCCTGCTAGGGGGTTTGATGATCACTAGTCTAGAGCTCTATCCACGGAAACAATATTTTTTTTATTTTTTTTTTTCAGAGGGAGTTTCATACTGGAAGACTAAACAGTTTGGAAGTTTTATAGGTCAACCAAAAAACCCCTAAACATTACCCGAACACACAAAGTATTCAGATTAAAGACCAATAGTTATAAAACTCACGAGAACATCCTTATAGTTTTGCTTTTGCAAAGAGACGTGAAAATATCAATTTTCTATATTTAATTTAAATTCTGTTTAAAGTTTCAATCTTTATCTACTCCAGCTGCCATTTATGTGCTTAAATTACTCTAAGATACAAGGTTAATACAAAATCACCTATAAACTTGGAAAGTCAGAAAACTGCTTGAACCCTCATGATCTAAATTTGTAGTACACTGCTGCCAGACAGTAGTTATTACAGCTGCAACAATAAACCTTTTACCTGGCTAGACAGTGACGTGAAACACATCTTGCATCCTAGATAAGGTTGTAAAAGATTATCTAAACAAGCAGCTGTTCTCCTTTAAGCTTAGGATGATCAATCCTGTGGGTGTTGATTTTTATATTCAGTGGATGAGCACTCCAAGTTGGAATCTCTTGCTCTTCCACTTGAAGTATTCTGTTGAGGTAAGCCAGGGAGAGGAGCTGACTTACACAGGCAGTTGAGTTCTCAGTTTTGACAGACTTGCCAGCCATGACAGACCACATTTTGTATAGGAAATGTACCTTCTCTACATGATGACATCTAAAAAGTGTTTCACTCTGCATTAGAGAATTAAAGGATTCACATTAGCAACAAAATTATATATTGTAGCTATGGCAACAAGGTCCAAACACCAATTCACATCTTCATACAATAAAAGAAAATCTAAGCATAGGGTCAACATTTGAGCTTTCTCTCATAACTAAGGAAGTTTTGGTGAAGGTATGGCTAATTATGTCAACGGAATGAGACAGAGTAGTCTCTCAAGTCTTGTATCAGGCTGAGGAAGGAAACAGCACAGGAAGTAAAGATGCAAAGAAAAAAGTTATCTCTATGTAAACATTTTCTGAAATTACTGTGGTTTTGAATAAAATTGGCCAAAGACATCATACTGAATGTTATGAACTTGGGTATCAGCAATCTTACCAGGCGATGATCCTCAATACTGACCTCTGAGACAGCAAAGTAACCAATATTTTGGTAGGCTGAAACTAAGACTGTACTAGAAAGCTGTTAAAGGTTTTCTTCAAAAAGAGACCATACTCTGCACAGGCATATGGTCAGAACCTACACGAATTGCCAAAGAGCACCATGATTTTCCTTTACAACTGCAGAAACAAAATCTTATATACATTAAACAAAAAGTGACAGAACAATTCTCCAGGAAGTTTTATGGGACTTTTGCCATCTAGAGTCAAACAGAGCAGCAACAAGGTTAGTAGTTATGAGGGTACTTTGAAGAAGATGTAATTAAGTCAGAATCAAAGAATCATATCAACTTCAAAATAAAATAGACCTTCAAAGGCCACATGTCTCCTGAAAGAAGATTACTTATTTACGCTTTCTAGAGTGGACCTACAAATTCACTGACAATTGTGGTAATACTTATGTAAAGCCTCAGAAAAGAATTTGCCCTTGCAAAAGGTAAGACATGATCATCTCTCTAATGACCTTCCAGAATACACCGAGATTACTTAGTCAGACATTTAAGGACAAGTCTGGCATATAACACACCAGTAATGTTTTTCTTTGCAAATCAAAGACCTAGGGCAATAGGTCTGCAATAGCTATGCAATAACATTAAAAACCAGTTCAACACATGAAACATCAGAACCAGCAGTTAGCAGGTATCTGCTTTAATCTCCTCTATTAAAATCTGATTACAGGTAAAGAAAAGCCTCTCTGCGAATTGCTAAACAAGACAGCATGAAAGGAGATTTTTATAACACGTTGATCTTATGTCCTACTTAGAAAAGTCACATACATGGGTAACAACAGAATATTTAATTAGAAAGACTTTATGTATCAGTTTCAGTTGAAAGT